AAAAAAAAAAACCCAGAGTGGTCAGAAATATTAACAAAGATGGTATCCTGTTAGGTGTTGAATTTTTAACACCTGTAAAGCAGTTTACAATCAGCTACTAGAAATACTGTTGTTAGTCCTGAAAGGCCTACCCTGAGGAATCCTTCCCTTGCAGGGAAAAGGTTTTGCCAGAATATGGAATGCTGCTTGTGAAATTTTAACTGCGAGTTCACCCGTGTTAACCAGGCAAGTCAAAGGGTAGCAGCAAAATTAAAAATTAGTTCTGGTCTCGCAGGCTGTGGGTGAACAACACATTCAGAAACTTAACTTTCGCTTTCTAAAAATCTGTTAGAGGAATAAGGTAGCACACTAAAAACTTGTTGGTGTCCTCAGTGACATGTCCAAAGTGACAGAACTTCAGCTCAGGCAAATCACCAGTTATCCTTGAAATCCCTACTGCTTTAAGCTTGGTAATTCAAGTTGTCCAATCACTCTAAAAGAAGAACTGGTGCTGGCTTTCAGATCACTTGCATAATTCCTAAGTACTTTAAAACTTATTCTTTCATTTGCAGTTGCTTGCAAGATTATTATGGTGAACTCCTTTATCCACCTTGAGCTCTTAAAACATCAAATCACTGATAAGAAAGGGCTGTATTTTCTACTAATGTGTTTGTATGAAAAGTTAAGCTGGTGTTGACCACAGAAAAATTTGTGTCTATGGCAAATTTTCAAAATTGCTGGCAATACACTGAAAAAATTAACAACGAACTTACATTGATATTGCTGTTCAACATTGTCTCAAAGTCCTCTGGTGGAATCTTTGGCACCTGGTTAATAAGATCCATCAGGAATCGCCCAACGGTGTTGTCAGCAGCCACTTTGCCAGACTAAGCATAAGAAACATAAGCTTCAATGTGAGTAAAATTCAGGAAGTTTATGGCCCAGAAAGAGAATTTATATAAGGAAAAATGAAATGCACGGAGCTTACATCAAACTTATCTGCTGGCTCATAAAAATCTGGCCTTACCAGTACATCCTCTGCGTACTGCAGCACCATGCTCAGGGTGTCCTGAATCCTGGCTGATGCTGATCCCACCTGCTGCAAGTCACTGGACAAGCCAATCACTCGATTGGGGCTAAAACAGGTCTTCATGATAAGATCCACTGAAAGGAAAAGGAGTATCAGTGAAAAAAAAA